AACGCTTTTGATGCTGGTGCTGTTGGGGCACTTGTGTATACGGATAGGAAAGATTACGGCGGCGCCGGTGCGAAGTGGTTTCCGGACGACAAATGGATGCCGCCGAGTGGGGTTCAGGTGGGGTCAGTCTATAACGGCTCCGGTGATCCTACTACGCCTGGATGGGCTAGCACCGAAGGGTGCGAGAGGATGTCAGTTGAGGCGGTGGAGAGCAGTGGGGATGTTCCTTTAATACCTTCGTTGCCGATATCCGGCGCCGATGGTGAAACGATCTTGAGGTCAATTGGTGGACAAATTGCAAAAGATGATTGGCAGGGAAGCAAAGATTCACCGACTTACAGAGTTGGACCAGGACCGGGAGTTGTCGATCTCGATTACAAAGTAAGTGTCGAATCTAGCATCTCTGAACTTCGATTCCGATGGTCACCGGAACATTAAGATAACTTTCAACCTGCCGAAATAATGGTTTGGTATATATGAATGAGATTTTCAGGGAAAGCAAATCATTGCAACGATTGAGAATGTCATTGGTGTTATTGAAGGAGAGGAAGAGCCTGATAGGTAAGTAGTTCAGGAACATCAATGGAAATCACAGGAAGAATTAGACATCAACCTCATAATCAATGGAAATAGCAATCAACTAAGCAACTAAGCAAACATTACGGTTAGTGTTGATGGGACAACTGTTTTACGTTGGCGGTTCATTCGTTCCAATTTATCTAATTTAAATGAAGAATCGTAATCGATAGTGATCGATTATAGGATGGTTGATATCATGTCTAAAGTCATTATGCCTGTTAATAGATCGATTGTTAACTATCAATTTTAACTCCGTTAAAGGTCACATTAAAAGGGTGTGAACTCTGTAGATCAATCCCCATGAAGGATGATTCTGAAGATGATATGATGTCTCTAGAAAACTTCTAGAGGCTCTAATCATAGGGAATAGTCTTTTGAGATCTTTATTAAGGGAGTTTTGATAATTTATGAACAAATAACATAACTGGGAAACAGTTGAGAACAATTAAGAGAACTTACTTGTTTAGTAATGATTTCCCCTGTTCTTATTGTAACTATTCTCAGGTTCGTCATCCTGGGAAATCACCGTGATGCATGGACATTTGGAGCTGTTGATCCCAACAGTGGTACTGCGGCACTTCTAGAGGTCTTCATAATATTAACACAATTTCATCCTGCACTTGCACCTTTCAAAGCTAAAAGCAGATTCATTTCAGCTGAATTTCCCCAATGTAGGTTGCACAAAGACTCTGGAAGCTGCAAAGAAAAGGCTGGAAACCAAGACGGACAATCATTTTGTGCAACTGGGATGCCGAGGAGTATGGCTTGATAGGATCAACAGAATGGGCAGAAGAAAACAGAGAATTGCTCGCTTCGAGGGCAGTCGCCTACATAAACGTCGACTGTGCAGTAACAGGAGCAGGATTCCATGCTTCTGCTACTCCACAGCTCGATGATCTGCTCAAACAAGCTGCTCAACAGGTATGTGTAAAGTCCTAAATCAAACCAACAAGGCAGCATCAAATAGTAGCCAAGTCTCCCTTGACAAAACCGTTCTTCTATTTGATTTTCCAAGGTTCAAGACCCAGATAACTCATCACAAACAATCTACGAACAATGGGTTCGGTCAAGTTCCTCTCCTTTGGTGAGCATTATAAAACTAAATGATACAAAAGAACTTGTATTTTTGTATGGTTCAATGTCTACATCAAGATAACATATTTATTATCCTGCACATAAACTGCGAAGATCGGGCGATTAGGAGGAACAGGTTCCGATTATGCAGCTTTTCTTCAACATATAGGTGTTCCAGCTGCGGACATACGCTTCGGAACAGGTAATGAGTAAACACATGATAGTATAGAGTTTTTCCAGTTTTCGACTAATGAAGAGTAGTTTTGTTCATACAGGATACCCTGTATATCATTCAATGTACGATGACTACACATGGATGGAAAAATTTGGTGACCCCTTGTTTCGTAGAAACGTTGCAGGTACATAACAGCGTCTCATAATTAGACATCCTTGAACAAATGGTAGCATCTAAGGTTTTTTCCCCTCATCATGGCTCATTAAAAATCAACATACCAATACGCACCTTGATAAATATGAATATACGATAGATAGTGTGTAAAATTACTTTAGCTTCAGTCAAACAATTCATATGAGAAATTCAGTTTACAGATGAGTCCTTTTTTTTCTTTACAAAAACAGTGGCAAGTGTTTGGGGTTTAGTAGCTCTTCGGCTGGCAGATGAGGAATTCTTGCCTTTTAATTATCATTCCTATGCATTTGAAATCCAGGTAAGGTAACCTTTAGGAAATAAATGACTATGTGCACACTCCAATATAGCATGGCAGACATATATTTAGCGCTCACCGTCAGCCGTGGATTCACAAAACCTTTTCTAGAATGGAAACACATGCATTAATAAAATAAAATTTTCGTATCGGATGGACACAAATAAAATTTCATTTTAGACACAACCAATGATCTCTAATATTTTTTCGGAGTATTTTGACTTTCAACGTTTATTTATAAAACCCTTATTTTTGAGTATTTTTGTCATTAATATTCATTTTAGGGCAAAAGTCCTTATTTTAGAACTTTGAACGCTGGTTGATTAATGGTTTTCATCTATATAAAGGCTTAATTTAACGTTAGGGACATTTGTCTGTCGTGTCTAACCAAAAAGGCTTAATGTAATGCAACGAAATCCATGAAAACAGAAGCTTGCAGAAGACCTGGAAAAAGAGGTTTCAGATAAAGGCATAACCTTTTCTCCATTGTTCGAGTCTATTGAGGAGATAGCAAAAGCAGCCAGCACGATAAATGACCAGAAAAAGGTAACACTAGTTTCCATAATCAATTCTGAAAATGCATAAATAAAGTAGGTAAACTATATATTTAGTACATAAACTATCAGTTTTAGTCCATTTTAATATTTAAACTTTCAAATTTTTAAAATCATGTCAAACATTTAGTTTTTTGTTTATTTTAGTACTCCGCCTTCAAAAACATAGCGCGTTTAGTACGTAAATTATCAGTTTTGGTCTGTTTTAGTACTTAAACTTTCAATTTTTTCAAAATTTAATATTAAACTTTGAATGGAGTACTAAAATGAAATAAAGATTAAATTTTATGTAAAATTTTAAAAAATTAAAAGTTTAGTTATTAAAATATATTAAAATTAATAGTTTATGTATTAAATATATAATTTATTTTAACATAAATTAAGGATAATACTATTGTCTAGGAAATAAAAGAAGCTAAAGGTTGGACATCAATGTGGAGAAATGACCGTAACAAAGTACGAGAACTAAATGACAGACTAATGATGGCAGAACGTGCATTTACAGACCGTGATGGACTTCTTAGAGTGCCATGGCACAAACACTTGGTAACTTATTTTCTTAATTTCTTTCACTTGAGCAACTTACATGATATCATGTGATCAGGATCAACGTAGAAATTTTATGTTAAAGATGTGAATTTAAATTTATAAAATTTTAGATTTTAGAAAATGTGAATTTAAACTTATAAAATTTTAGGGATAAAAAATAAATTTTCAACTAAAAATACATAAATAAAATTTAATTTTTTTAAAATTTATAGTAATTTTAAATTTATAAGGAGTCGGTCACCCTAATTGTTCCCTACTAGGTTCATGCATATAAATAAAACAAGATCCTTTTACTTTAATAAGGTTTTGTGTTCAACTCATTACATAGTCATGTTAAATATCATGTCCTTTTATTGTATTTGATATCACATCTATTAAAATTTATCAAGTAGTTTCAGTAATAAAAAAGGGTAAAATACATAAATTATCCTTTGACTATATGATATTATTATTTAGTCCTACTATTAAAAGTTACAAAATAATTCTCTGACTATAGGATGTTGTTTTTTTAAGTTTCCGACTATTAAAAGTTATAAAATGATCATTCAACTATTCATTGTGTTCTAAACTCGTACTTTTCTTTTAAAATTGATGGCAATTCGAGTCGCGTATTAACCTGCTGATTGAGATATGATATAATATGAACCTAGAATCTCAAACGACTATCATATCTCAATCAACAAGTTAACGTCTAACTCAAACTACCATTAATTTTTTTAACGAAAAATGATGAGTACGGAACACGATAAATAGACTAGTGATCATTTTGTAACTTTAAATAATCAAATGATTCAATAAAGCGATATTATATAGTTGGTGAACCATTTGTGTATTAAAAGAAAATATTTCTTTAAAGAAATCTCGAATTTGAGTAGTTGTATGTTTTAGATATCTAATCGTTGTCAATAGATATAAAGAATTTTAAACAAATATTACTCACGAACATGCAGATTTATGCACCGTCAAGGCACGATGATTATGGGTCTACGACCTTCCCAGGCATAGATGATGCAATTGAAACTGCAAAGAATCTAAACACTTCCGAGTCATGGGATTTGGTGCAGCATGAAGTGTGGAGAGTTGCTAGGGCTGTCAGGCATGCGTCCTTAGTCCTCAACGGTAAACTAACATGAATGAGCAAAATGATCTAACCTGGAGATAGTAATATGCTTTAGCAAGGTGATTTCTATAAATTTTAATTTTTTCTGAACCAAAATCAAATTATAAATTTCTATATGTAAAAAATATAATGTTATTATTATGGGATGATATTAATAATTTTGTAACGAATGTAAAATAAATGAGGTCATAGTTTGAAAATTGTTACAGTATGTATTAAAATTTAGGGAGTATTTTAGGTTAGGTATCATAGCTTGAGGACTTCCTAAAAATTAACCCAAATAAAATCGGAAGTGATTAGATTAGAGTATAAAAGTTAAATCCAATAAATACGCATATTTGTATAAAATGTGACCAAAGGAGAAATACCTGTTCGGCAAGGAGACGTGGCAGCCTTTCATTTGTTAAACGTGGGTCAAAGTATAGTGCTGTCGCTAGGGTGAAAAACGAATATGGATCGGACGCCTCAGATCATTTTCGAGAAAATCTGACGTTCCATATATCTTCTTCCACAACCAGTATAAATTGTCATTTTGGAGTTCCCGAGGGGCGAAACTTGGCGCCAAAAAAAATTGCTTCTTAACCTGCTTTTTTCACCGCTATCACCGTGCCTTCTCGCTCTCTGCCTATCGATCTGAAAATGCAGCGCCAAAAACCGATATTCTCGTCCTCGCAAAAGCCTTCGTCGGCGGGCCAAAACGTCGCCGTCGGAGAGCTAAAATGCCGAGGAGCTTCTCAGTTTCCTTCAACTCAGAACCAGAATGGCGACGTTTGTGGCTCGTCTGTAGAAGTCACTGGAACTGATACTCCGCCGGAGAAGGAGACTCGCAAGGTGTTTCCGGAGAACTTCGCAACGAATGTTGGTGGTAGTGGCTCTTCTTCCCTGTTTTCTAGTATCATGCACAAGTTTGTGAAGGTTGAAGACCAAGGAAAAGGAAGTCGGAGGTAATTTTGGACGTATAAATTAAATCATTAATTTTTTTTTCAAAACAATAACTATTTGGACGTACCGCTAGGGTTTGATAATCAGCCGCATATGGAACTTCTGTTTGATTTTAGAAAAAAAAATACACAAATCTTTTATATTTCTGAGAAATGTGGAAGGATAACATAAACTGGAATTCCCATATAGTTTTATCAACTTCATAAAATTAAATTCGAATTTCTAACTATGAAAGAAGTAAAACCTGTCAATAATTCGGGTTTAATTTGCAGGAACCATGCAGGTGTCGATTGTTCGAATGTAGAAGAATTGCCTAAAGTGGGGTTAACCTCTCAACCAACAGAAAAGACCAATGTTATAAATGTTGAGGATGGTGATGATCTCAGGCCAGAAACACCTGCTACAAAACCTGGTGTTTCTCGTTTGAAGCGGATTCAAGATTATTTCCCTAAGTTTGGGGATAAGAAGGATAGTTCTGTATTAGATTCCGGTAAAAGAGTAAAGCTTATCCAGGAATCTATTGTCGGGAACAATAATCATAGGAATGATACTGATGCTGCTAGGAAATTTGGATGGCTTGATCCTTCTTGCATCAAGGATGCTAATAGTGCGGATAAAAAGGATAGTTCTTTATTAGACTCCAGTAAAAGAGTAAAGCTTCTCCAGGAATCTATTGTTCGGAACAGTAATAATCAGAATGGTACTGATGTTGCTAGCAAATTTGGATGGCTTGATTCTTCTTGCATCAAGGATGCAAATGGAAGAAGGCCTTGTGATCCCCTTTATGACAAGAAGACTCTTTATATACCTCCTGATGTTCTCAAGACAATGTCAGCATCTCAAAAACAATATTGGAGTGTCAAATGTCAATATATGGATGTTGTTATCTTCTTTAAAGTGGTAAATTATTGTTGCACCACATTCTTGGTCTCTTATGGATACCTTCCTTTCTGCATCTATAAATTGGTTTAAGTTAAGCATGATATGAATTTTGTGTTTATTTTCTGTTGTCATGGTTACCTAATCCAACAATATAATTTTCTATAAAAGGGGAAATTCTATGAGCTCTATGAGATAGATGCTGAAATTGGCCACAATGAGCTTGATTGGAAGATGACAATAAGCGGAGTGGGCAAATGCCGCCAGGTGACTTGTTATCTAGTTTTCATTCTTGTAATGATCTATCTGGATTCAGAACATTATCTCTATATATGGCCTTTCAACACAGTGGTGGTGTAGATGCTATAGTCATAATATCTTTCTCTATATTCAGGTTGGTATATCAGAAAGTGGAATCGATGATGCTGTTCATAAGCTGGTTGCTCGTGGGTAAGAATGCTGAGGAGATTTGTGGTTGTCTTCATCCTCGTCTGTGTATACTATGTCTTAGAATCCTTTATAATAAAATATTTGATGGTAGAAAGCGCAAAAGAGGAATAATGATCCATGCCCTTGGTCATCTTTTAGACAGTGGAATTTTGAATTCTTGATGGCGCCTCTTTCCTTTATTTAGCATATTGTGATTCACATTTTCTGTTCTTTTTGAAGATACAAAGTGGGACGTGTGGAGCAGTTAGAGACATCTGAGCAAGCAAAAGCTAGGGGTGCAAATTCTGTAAGTTTTTCATGTTGCATGTTTGGAGATGCAACTTTAAATCTATTTTTTATAGCATTATTGTTATTATTTTTCTACTCTTTGGTATGCTATCCTTTATGTGCCTTGATATTGCACTTCAGAAAATGCTTGTGTATTTAATGTGAGACCATGGCTGTGCTCAATAGTTTGTCTTAATAGTTTGACTAATAGCACTGAATTATTTCAGGTCATTCGGAGAAAATTAGTTGAAGTGATCACCCCATCAACAACAGTTGATGGTAACATTGGACCCGATTCTGTTCATCTACTTGCTATTAAGGAGGTTGGTTATGCACATATTTATGCATTTAAATAACTGGGTTTTCAGTATCTGCTGATTGAATGTATCTAGTTCATCTCTAAAATCCTTTATCTCTTTTTATTTACTTTTTTCCTTTTATTTTAGACATGAATTGGGAGTATGGAATCTGTTGGATGAACATATGGCTAGTCCATGCTATAATTTTGTTGTCAAATTTTGTGCTGTTTTCTTGAAGCTTCAATATTATTTTGTTCTCCTTTTTTTAACCTTGAAGTTATATTTTCTTTCTCTTTTTGCCTGTTCCTTTCTTCCTTAATGAGTTAGGTAGGGGGAATGGTCAGGGTGTCAAACTCAAGTATATGCATAATGTCTAAATATTTATGTAAGCACGCATGCTTCTTCCTTTTCAGTGTGAGTTAATCTGGTAGTTGTTTTCATAGTGTGCATTTTTTTTGCCTCTTCAAAGCTCTCAGGTACAAGTTATTGCAGTTTATTTTCCATTTTAAAGTTCATAACTTTTCTATTTGTAATTTGAATATTTATTGGAATATATAATGATTGCATACTTTTTTCTTTTACTTAGGAAAACTATGGGGTTGAGAATGGTTCAACTGCATATGGGTTTGCCTTTGTTGATTGTGCTGCTCTAAAATTTTGGGTTGGCTCCATCAGTGATGATGCTACCTGTTCTGCTCTGGGAGCTCTCTTGATGCAGGTAAGTTCTTGTATTTTCTTGTGATGTTTTTTTTTGTTTGTTTGAAATTTAAGCTCTAATGTACTGGTTGGAGTCTGATTTAGGTGTCCCCTAAGGAAGTCATATATGAAAGAAGAGGTAAACTTTGTCATTTTCTTTCAATTTTTCTTCTTTTGAATGCTAGTTTTATAAAAGTCTTGCCACTTAATTAGAAGTGTATGTTCAAGTATTTCAGGGCTGTCCAGAGAAGCTCATAAAGCACTCAAGAAATACTCATTTAGCGGTAAGCATTTTATGAACTTCTCCATCTGCAGAATGAACATGACCTCTCTATATGTGTATGTGTATGTCTAGCTTTATTTGAGTACTTTCTATCACTACAAGAGTTTGCATAAGGCAGAAATGATATTCTTGTATATGACAAGTGACAACAGTTACATCTTCTGTTTTCTTATTGGGTAAATTACAGCATATGTCAATTATTACTAAGATTAAAAATGAGACACTGAATTCCAAGAAGTTACAAACAGGTTATTTTAATCATCGATTGTAACAACCAGGTCACTCTGTCGTTAAATGTGTAATTGTCACTAAATTTCAGTGACAAACAGGTTACTCCATTTATCGATTGTAACAATCAGGTCACTCTATTTCTTGATTATAACAACCAAGTCACTCAATTGTGACTAAAAGGTTCATGTCCACGTCAAAGGGACCTCTTTGTTTCGATCATTAATAGGACCTGCCTGTAACTTTTTGAAATTCAGTGACCATTTGTAATCTTACTAATAATTGAGAGACGTGTGGTGTAATTTACCCTTTCTTATTGGATACTTTATTATATGTCTTTGGTCGACTTAAGAAAAAAGTAATTCAAAATGATGAAGATGAATTTATGTCCATGTGCAGTATAACAGTTAAAAGGTCTCCTACTCTCTGGACAATATGCACCTGTGTAATTGAAAATTGTCAAAAATCAGCCTTTTCTTTTTGCATTTTTATTTAGATTATTTTTGAAGATTTAGGTAGCTTAAAATGCTAAGAAGCTACGTTAATCACTGTCAGTCAAACTGCATATTGATTTTTTGTTTATCTTGCAGGATCTACTGCAGTTCAACTGAGTCCTGGAAACCCTACTGATTTTCTGGATGCTTCTGAAGTTAGAAATATGATTCAGTCGCATGGTTACTTAAAGGGGTCACCTAATTCATATATTAAAGCTTTTGACGGTATAGTGCACCATGACATTGCAGTGTGTGCTCTTGGTGGATTGGTCAGTCATATGTCACGATTGATGGTAAGCCTGCAGACTAGCATTTATATGAGCATGTAAGTATACAAATTAGATATCTAATTTATTCTATTTTATATAGCTGGAGAGCATTTTACAGAGTGGAGATGTTTTACCCTACCAAGTTTACCAAGGTTGCCTCAGAATTGATGGCCAGACACTAGTAAATCTTGAGATTTTCAGTAATAATGCTGATGGTGGTTCTTCAGGCAAGTGGTGAATCTTGTTAGGTTGGAAATATTTGTGCTGACAGTTTTTAGTTTTAAGTCCTTAAAATTATTTTATTTTCAGGTACATTGTATAAATATCTTGATAACTGTGTGACCTCATCTGGAAAACGCCTTTTAAGGAGCTGGATTTGCCATCCACTAAAAGATGTTGGTAGCATTAATAACAGGCTAGACGTGGTTGAAAAACTTAAGTCACATATAGAAATTATGTTAATCATTCCTCAGTATCTTCGCAAACTTCCCGACTTGGAAAGGTTACTCGGACGTGTTAAGGCTAGCGTCCAATCATCGGCTTCTCTTCTTCTTCCCATGATAGGCAAAAAAGTATTGAAACAACGGGCAAGTCTCCTCCATCTGTATATGTTTCTTTTTTATACTTCTTTAGCTCTGTCAGGTCAAAATAGATTGGAAAGTAAATGCTATATATATCACTCATATGCTTGCATAGTTTGAAAAGGATCTCCTTTGCTGTTAATATTTTTACAATTGCATTGTTGACTTAAAATAGCCATTCCTCAATATTTTCTGCAACAACAATCTATGCTCTTTTGTTTTGTTTCACTGATGGGTTCCATGCAAAAATAAGGGAAGATATTGGGCTCTTTTAGTCAGGGACACTTCCTTTCTAAACATCATGACTCATGGTTCCTATTATGGGACAGGTAAAAGCTTTTGGTACACTTGTCAAAGGTCTCGGGATTGGAATGGACTTGTTAAGGCTATTTCAGAAGGATACAAATATGGAATCTCCATTATCAAAAGTTTTTGAACTTCCAATTCTAAGTGGTACTAACGGGCTTGATGAATTCCTTACTCAATTTGAAGCAGCTATAGATAGTGACTTCCCAAATTACCAGGTCTGCTTTCTTTTTCTGTATCAATATGAGGAAGAATTATTTGTAGTAAGCTTTTGTAAATATCTATTTAGATTTAACTATTTCCTGGATTTTCCCTCTAAGCCTTAGGTCATGTACCTATTGTGTTATATATTGATATTTTGTCCTAGAAATCTGCATTTTATGTTCTAAATTCAAATTAGATCTTAGTTATAATAGGGTTCATAATGATGGAAAAGACATTCTTTTGCGTGTAATTTAGACAGTGCTTGCTGAAATTTGGTATGAATGTTAATTTTGTTGGAACCGATTGCTTTCTAGTATCAGATTTTATTTTAGCAACGACTTTAAGATAGTTGTTTTTTCTCTTTGGGTACATAACTGACATGTTCTCTACCAGAATCATGATATAACAGATGCGGATGGTGAAACACTTTCTATACTGATCGAGTTATTTATTGAAAAAGCTTCTCAATGGTCTCAAGTTATTCATGCCCTAAACTGCATCGATGTCCTAAGATCTTTTGCAGTAACTGCAAGTTTATCATCTGGGACCATGGCAAGGCCTGTTGTATTGCCCCCGTCAAATACCATGACTTCAAACCAAGAAACAGGACCAGTGCTTAAAATTACAGGACTTTGGCACCCATTTGCCCTTGGGAAGAGTGAGGTACCACCTGTTCCAAACAACATTTTCCTTGGTGAGGGTGTAAATGACTGTCATCCCCGTGCTTTGCTATTGACTGGACCGAATATGGGTGGAAAGTCAACTCTTTTACGTGCCACTTGTCTGGCTGTTATACTGGCCCAGGTTTGTTTCTCTTGGACCCTAAGAGCTGTCAGTAACTAGACACTTGCTTCCTCAGGTTTCTGATGATCATTATCTTTGTTAATTGCTTCAATGTTTCATATATGATGCACGTTAATCTTTTTACACGCAGCTGGGTAGTTTTGTTCCCTCTGAGACATGCATTATCTCACTTGTGGATACAATCTTTACAAGGCTTGGTTCTTCTGATCGAATAATGACTGGCGAGAGTAAGTTTTACAAACCATCAGTTTGCTAGCTTCATAGGCTTTCTTGTGATCCAACAGTGTCTTGTTCCAAATGAATATTCTTAGTCCATCTAAATGTACTGCGTGTTGCAAATTCCCAAATTGAAGTCGGAGTTGCATAGCCTGTGTACTTGTCTAATTTTTATACATACGGTCTGATTGTGCATCCTTGTTTTGTAGGTACCTTTCTTGTGGAGTGCTCGGAAACAGCATCAGTTCTTCAAAATGCTACACAAGATTCCCTTGTTCTTCTTGATGAGCTGGGTAGAGGAACAAGTACTTTTGATGGATATGCGATTGCATATGCAGTAAGATTTCGAACTCTAATAATCTATCTCATTCACCTTTCCACCTAAATTACAGAAATTAATATGCCATCATGCAACTCTTAGAATGACATTTCCTCAACTCATCTTAATGTATGCCTAGACAGTAGACACGGCCATGATTTTAGCCCGTATACTTCTTTCTTTTGTTTTTCTTCCAAGATCTGCTATATAGTTAGATATATGAATCATGTTTGTGAGAGGCAGGCACTTACAGTTTCACTATGTCATTTATGATGTCATTCGATAGCTTGAGAGACTTAATCTTAGCGAAACAGAACCGAGAATGATCTGGGTTTCCTTTGCAATGAACGTTTTAACATTTTGTTTTGAGAATGTGTTAATATACTGTTTTACGGTTCTTGATCCTGAAGCTTGAACTCTCATACCCCATTCAAATGACTTTGATGTTCATCTAGGTGTTCCGCCATCTTGTCGAAAAGGTTCATTGCCGGCTGTTATTTGCAACACATTACCATCCGCTGACAAAGGAATTCGCATCTCACCCACATGTTACACTGCAACACATGGCTTGCTCTTTTCAGTCGACATCTAAAGGCGAGCAAGAGCTTGTTTTCCTATATCAGCTCACTAACGGAGCATGCCCGGAGAGTTATGGTATGCAAGTTGCAATGATGGCCGGGATCCCGAAAAATGTAGTTGAAGCTGCCTATAAGGCTGCACAAGTAATGAAAAGAACTGTTGGGGAGAGTTTTAGGTCAAGTGAACAAAGATCAGAGTTCTCATCTCTCCACGAAGAGTGGTTGAAGACCCTTGTAAATCTTTCAGAGGTTCGAAATCGTGACTTCGACGATGGCGATGCTTATGACACGATGTTCTGCTTGTGGCATGAGCTAAAAAAATTCATATGGAGTCGGAAACTAAGTACAAAAGAAGCTTTTGATTTCCAGATTGCATTGCAGGGTCCCTTTTCCCCCCTAAACATGTACATGTTCATTATCTGTTATATGATTCTGCTGTTTTAGGGGGTCTTTTGCCCGTAATAACATTTTTATTTTTGTTTTCTTCAGTCCTATTTTACGGTCCATGTTCGGGATTCGTAATTATCATTCTTAAAGACTCGAACTTGCATCCTCACACTGGGAGTGCAACGTGCTTTGTCGGTGCACCTAATATTTGGGGTAAATTATGCATGTAATACCTAAATTATATCAGTTTTTGTCCGTCTTAATACTTAAACTTTAATTTATTTTAAAAATCATACTAATGTGTTTGGTTTTCATTTTATTTTAGCTCCTTACTACTAAAAACTTAATGCATTTAGTATTTAAATTATCGGTTTTGATATGTTTTAGCACTTCTAATTTTTTTTAAAACTTAACGTCAAATTTTGAATTAGATGCTAAAATGAAATAAAATCTAAAGTTTTTAACGATAGAATATTAAAATGAAATAAAAATTAAATTTTAGGTATGATTTTTAAAAAAATTGAAAGTTTAGGTATTAAATCATTATGAAATTGATAGTGTAGGTATTAAATGAGTAATTTATCCTAATGTATGCATGAAATTTCGACAGATTTGTCCTTAGAATTCAGGGTTTTGAAAAATTCCGGTTAGGTGCTACAAATGTATGCATGAAAAGAACAAAGGCATGCATGATCACAAACTAAAAATGGGAAATTATCCATAAATTCATTTGACAATTTGACATATAATGAAGTTTAGCTTTTGGTCCTCCATTGCCCCCCACCCCACACTCTCACATGTCTACATTTGCCTTTGCCTTTGCCTTGAAGGTAAACCCCAAGTTGATATTAAAATTCCCTCCCCCTTTTTTGCTACAATCATTACACAAGTTCATTACAACAAGGCAAAATTATCACCATAAAACAACTCTCTTTTTTTTACCATCCCGGTTCTAAAGCTTTGACGTGACTAATCTGGATTGATCCGTGTCGCACACCTGATTTTAGTGAGTAAATCTCCCTGCAAGGATTTTCTGCATACACAAAGACTCAAACTCGATATCTTACTTAAACGATATTAAACTACTTATCACTTGAACAAACCCAAAACAACACTCTTTTTGGCCCCCACAATTATCTTCTAATTTCTTGCTCTCTAATGAACATCTCTACTTAATAGTACCAAACCAGTAATCCACTAGACAACTGCCACCAGCAGCATATAGCTCCAAAACGAAAGCCATTAATTCCTCCAAAAGCATATTCATATTTTATATTTGCTGAGAAAATATCAAGATTCCTACCCATTTCTCGCTTTCTTATGATTAAAAGAACTTAAAAAAGGGTAAAATACACTCCAGGTCATTCAATTATTAGTTCAATTACAAACAACTCGTTTCCTTTCAAAATATTATAATTTAGTCACTCAATTAAAATAGTTACAAACGGAGCACTCCATCTTTACAAATTGAATCATACGTCTAATGTGATATAGTATAATAACAATTTTATTTCGAAACTTATATGTTCTATCCGTTTGATATTAACTCAATAATTTTATAAATTTAAGCCTCCATATTTAAAATTTTTATCAGTTAGGCCCTTTTGCGATAGTGTCAAACTAAATGAGTCCATCAAATCAAAGCTGCAGTTGGATAATCACATTCTAATATTAAGCAAGGACAAGTCATTCTTAGACTCTTATTAAACCATGAAAGTAACATAGACAATAACAAACAATTTAGAAGAACAAAAACTAAAGTGATGGGTTTTTAAAAAAAATATGAATGGTTAAATTCATCGAATTATTTTAAATTAGGACTATATTAATAGAATGTATAAATTTTGGAGACTAAAGTTTTTATTGTATCAAGACATGTCATCATTGCGTATAATATTTAATGACCAGTGATATGTTTGTAACTATATTTAATCGAGTGATGATGCTTTTAGAAGAAAAAAGGATCCCTTTATAACCAAACTAATAAATGAATGGCATGGGGATGTATTTTACCCTTAAAACAATGACCAAGAGAGCAAAAGAAGTTATTCAATCATGATGAATTTGCACACAAGCAAAATAGCAGCAGTGAACTTATTATATTTTCACTTTGTCACCGATTAACAGTTTATACAAAGTCCCACATCGCTGAGCTATTGTAACATTTACACACAGTATGGCTAGAAGAAGAACACCTCAAGTTCTTGAGTCCATCTATCTGATGAACACGGTTGAGATTTTTAGAGAATCCATCAGGCTAATCCTTCTTCACCCTACTCATTTCCATTCGATCTCCGTCTTCCTCTTCTCGCCGATCCCGGCTTCCCTTATCTTCTCGCATTTTCTCGTCCGTCGTTTCCCCGAAGTACCTCCCTCGGCCACGACGCTCGTAGATCATTTCTTCGGACACCGCCCGCCGAATTTCCCGTCGGAAACGATAGTCCACATTGTCGTTTGCGTCCCTTCTTCGATCACGTTCGCCCTCCTCGGACGAGCGGCCGCCATCCAAGCGGTTTCGGACACTTACAAAGGCGTAAATCTCGACGGAAGAAGGCTACTAACGAGGAGCGGTTCGAATTGGATTAAGCTTCTCCACACAAGATCATGGGAACTCTTCATCATACTAGGCCTATTCGGATCGATGTCGATCGGTTTAACAGCGACACCGAAGATGCTTCACACGCTCGGAATCTGCTCGGTCGAGATCGGATTCCGGGGTGTCCTTGGGCTCCTAGGGATACCCTTTTGCTTGGCTTTTGCACATGTAATGGTGGTGGGGAACATGGCTGATGTGATATCGGTGCTGGAGAGTGAATGTTATGGACTCGACTCGCTGTGGAAAGCCAAGCAACTCATGGGAGGGAGAAGACAAACAGGGTTGGTGATGGCTTTGCTGAGCAATGTGGGATTGAGGGTGGTCGAGTGTTTGTTTGAGTTGAGGATTCGTAGGGGAATCTGTGTGTGGGAAATCCCTCTGTTGATATCAATTTATTCTTCTCTTCTTGTTCTTGAAACTGTCATGAATGTTGTGTTATACTATGCATGCAAATCTTGAAAGGTAAAAAAAAATCGATTGTTTTAATAAAAATTAGGTATATGGTCCTCCGCGAATTCATCGAGTGACATTAATGATAAAAAAAAGAAAGATCGTTTTTTATAAGTTTTTGGTTCGAACAGTTGTGTTTGTAAGATATATATACGTTATCAATACTTAAAAAAAGTTCTAAACGTATACTATCTTATAATAACGTATACTACTAAAAAAAAGTCTTTTTAAAAACCCTATGCCCAATGGTTGCACCCAAACTTAAACCTTAGCATAGTTCGATGAGAACTTCACATTCAGAGATGGACACAAGATTTTACACTAGAAGAGGCAAACTTATATAATTTAAGGGGAGATAAGCTTATAAAATGTTAAGGGTGAAAATATATTTTCAATAGAAAATATAAAAAAATATCTAAAATATATAAAAATTTAAAAATTTTAAGGGATGTCCTCCCCAGCTAGATTCATCCCTACTCACAATAAACAAAGTAAGCAAATGAGAATTTTGTGAAATTAAAATTTTAGGGTTTCGACCCAAATTGTGACTAAGAATGAAAATGAAGAAAAATATAGGGCTCCCATTTGAAGACCCCAAATATAGAAAACCCTAAAATTCAATATTAGATTCATGAATTTTAAGTTGTTTTATGATTGAATGAACATCAAATTCATATTCAAAGGATAAAACAAAGTTAATAAAAAAAACATAGGATTCATCGATCAATGACACCATGACAAATAATGGTTAGTTAAGACGAACAATATTTGAAATTTGAGTGGATTCAAACAAGACGAGGGACAAAAGAGAAGAAGAAAAGAAGAAAAACGAAGGAAAAAAATATTTTTTATATTTTATAAAAATATAAAGGCTTAATACTAAAATAAGTGTCCAAACTATATCTCTTTTCCTGAATAAGTGCCTAAACTATTTTCTGACTCATCCCGATGTCTAACGTTACAAACGTTATCATTTTAGGTGTTCGGGCCGTCAACGGTGTTAATTTCCCTCATTAAATGACACATGTCATAATATGGTAATTTTACAAATTTTATTTAATATTAAAAAATTAAAATTACATATTTTTTAAAAAGAAAAAAACAGCAAATTTGAAACAACACCAAAAGTTTAAAAACCTTCATTTCAACTCCTAAACCTATGACGGTCGCCGTCCTTTACCGTCGACGAAGCTCCACACGACCTCACCTCCCCCAATGACCAAAATCCTTATGAAATTACGATCGATCAATGACGAATCGACATTTTATACCCATGAACCCTATGATGAAAATCACAGTTCTGACAGCTAATCGGCAACAACTACGGTGTTGTATAACTAGGAGGATGACAGAGACGACATCGGTGGTAGTGGTCATGGCCGGAAAGAGCAGGGACAACGGGTTAAAGTTAGGATTTGAGGATTTTAAGGATTTTGGAGCTTCTTTATAATTTAAGATAAATTAGGGTTTTTTTTTATAAATATAAAGATATTTTTATATTTAAAAAATAAATTTCAAAATCACCAGATTATGAAACGTGTTAAGTAAAATTAACGCCGTTGACGACCCGAGCACCTAAAATGATAACAATTATAATGTTAGGTACCGGGATGAGTCAAAAAATAGGTTAGATACTTATTCAGAAAAAAAAATGTATAGTTTTGTCACTTATTTTAGTATCAAGCCAAATCTAAAATAACTTTGTTTAGGTGGTTTTTTTAGAGATTTAAAATGACATTACTTTGATATGTCATCATATCATTTGTCATATGGAATCAACTTTTTTTTATTTAATTGTGGAGTGATATAAGAGTAATGTTAAAATTAAGTAATTAAACAAAAAATCTTAAATTTTAGAGACCATAATAAAAAAAGAATAAAATTCAATGGTGAAGAAGGTAATTTAACCTAATCTCAAAAAAATTGTATACAAAACTTCAGTAAATGATGGAACGTGATTCTGGAGAAAATGAGAGGAAGGGGGAGCTTTGAATGCAAACACGAACCAGGAACAATGGCGGTGAATCAATTACTCTTCTTCTCAACTAATTCCATATTTTGCTTTATAAATGGTGAAACAGGAGTACTCCATCATTGAAGGGAACAACTAATGGCTGGCAATAAGCTAACGTGGTGGCCGTGGGTTGCTTTGTGGATTTGTTCGGCGGTGGCATATCAGTGCGTTGAGAGTAGGAAGATAGTGGAGAAGAAGCCAGAATGGTTTTTTGATGGCAACCCCAGCGGTGGTTTTAGTGGCGGAAACAGGTGGGGTTTTGGGCATTCGTTTAGCTTCGGCAAGGGGCTGGGCTTCCGCTTTGGTTTCGGACGTCCTGGTGGCGGTGGCGGTGGTGGAATGGGTGCCTTTGGAAGGCATAATAACTGGCACCACAATGGAGGTGGTGTTGCTGCTGGTGGAGGCATTGGTGGCGGGATAGGAGGTGGTTTTGGTGGAGGAGGAGGTTTTGGCGGCGGTGGTGGAGGAGGAATTGGAGGCGTGAGCCAGAAAGCCCATGTTGATGAGAAAAAAACATAAGTTAAAACCAAATAAGAATGCCTTTAATCACTGTTGCGTAGACAATAGTTTTTTTACGGTTAGCATTTCTTATTCAATATTTTATCTATTTTATGATCTCTATTATTCAAAATTGTATTTAATTATTATGAATACAATATATCATATCACTATAAATAATTATCATCATCTATACTTTATTGTTACACATAAATATAAGGTACGAACGAAATTACTTTAATGATTAAAATAATTATTATTATATTTTGAAGCCTCATATTTAAGTAAGACTGTAATATAGATGATTGAGGATTCATTGTCAAATTATTGAGAATATTCCGAATAAATACTATTTAGTGATTATAGCTTAATCAGAAAAAAAAATATTTTGCTTATATAATATATATATATATAAAGGATCGAGTATGAATTTTATTTTAAAATTTACATTAAATTTTTGATTAAATGAACTTTATTTAAACTTGGATCAAGATAAATAACAAACGAAAGAATATTATACTCAAATCGAATTCGAGTGGATAAAAAATCCGACCATAATCACTAACCTAACCATTGCTCCCACAGCCCACTTATACGATTAAAAGCAAACCATCCTTCTTTGGCAATGGGACAGGTTCCCTTTCAAGGGTGAAATTGATCCAATAGGCTAATGGGCTAAAAAATTTAACCCATTAGATTATCTTCGAAATTATTTTGAGATCTACACTAAATGTTACGGTGTAAGGGAAACTCGTCAACTCGATGTGACGAGTTTTAATAAAATATAATTTTTTATTAAATTTTATCAAATCGGAAATAAAATTTTTGAATAAAAATACTTTTTTATTAAAAATCATCACATCGACGTAACGAGTTTCCCCTACACTGTATTATTTGTTGTAGACCCCTAAATAATTTATTTAGTATTATGTTAGACTAAATAATTAACCCGCCTAGAGTATTGGGTTAATTTTGCACCTTTCAGGACATGAGCCTGTACCTATCCGGTTGGGCTTGTCTTAGGCTTTTGATCCATTAGCTTAATATGCATAATGTTAAAGGTATAACGTCAAAAAAGTACGATGATGTTGATTAAATAATTATTTAATTATGATTTTTTAAAATATTTTGAATCTAAAATTTTTATTTTAGGACAAAAATATCTTTATGTTGATGAAATTCATTAGTTAACGAATAGTTAACGCTTCAAATATGAGCCTTCATACCCTAAAATGAAATATATAAAAAATAGCTAACCCTTATTCCCATATATAATGGGGTAAGGGGAGGTAGGATAGTAGGTTGCCCCAAACACAAGGTTGAGAGCAACTTCCGTGAGAGACCTTCGAATTATGAATTGCCTACCATGAGATTCGACCTCACGACCACAAGGTATAGGTAATTCCCTAAAATGAAATATAGAGGACTAAAATGTTCTAAAAAAATAATGGCCAATTTAACTATTCAATCAAATATCACTGGTATTTTTACCTAAAATAAAATGTTGGGACTAAAATACTCCAGAAAATAATAAAAACTAAAATAACTAATTTAATAAATGTTTGGAGACTAATTTTGATAATATGCCAATAGAAAATGGATGTAACATATTGGATAATGTTTTTTTCCTTCTATTTTATACAAAAAATAATGAGAAGAAATTAAAAATTATGTTAAATCAGATAGGATCGAAATCAGAATTAGCTTTTAACATTTGAGATAATGATTAGATGAATATATATGTTTTTAATATCAAATTGAGTTGGATCTAGATCAAATTTTATTGTTATAAAATTATGTCGGATTCGAGTCCGGCGAAAACTCACTCCACTACCATTCTTAAGAACATGGCAAGGGATGTTTAAGATACGTCAGTTTTAATATACGGCTAAAAAATAAGTTACCGAAAATGTTAATATTTTTTTAATATTTTCAGTAAAGTGTTATCTAAAACATTATTGTTTCTGCTATAAATGTTAATATTAGATGCTACCTAAAATGTTATTTTTCCTACCGAAAATTAAGTAACTAAATTAACATTTTTGATTAAAAAATAATATTTTAAATAATATTTTATCAGAAATATTAAAAAATATTAATATTTACGATAGGATATTTTCTTAATCGTTAATTAATACTGGCGTACAGCAGAATTATTTCTGAAAATTTGGGAGAACATTCTGAAAAGCTGGAATTTGTACCATTTGATGAGGTTTATGGAAAAAGAAAAGCTCCCACGTTTCCACTATATTGTATATTGTGAATTGGAATGAATCAAATAGACCACTACATGAGTTGTCTTAATCTCCTCAGCTGTACTAATTTCGATTCCTTGTTCATTGAAGGTTGTTAATACGGTAATGCTTCAGGATGAAGCTTTAGCAGACAACGATCCAACCCTACTGCTGTCGAGCAATATGTTTTAGCTGACAACTCCCCTTTTTTTCTTACATAAAACAGTTTTGTTGTTTGTCTTAGGTAATTTTATGTGTCAGATTAGACATATTTTTTTTTGTTTGTTAGGAAATTTATCTCGTCACACGTGTCGTTATTATAATTTTAAAAAATTTATATATTTTTAAAAAATATTATATTTAAATAAAAAGTTACTTTCTCTTAAAAAAAACAAGTTTTTAAAAATCTTAAATCCCTAAATTTAACCCATCGATGTCGTCCTTTCTGCTCATGGCTACTTCCGCCGACGTAGTCCTTGACATCTTCTTAATCATACAATGTCATACTTACTATCGATTAGCCGTCGGGATCGCATAGGTCGTGATTTTTAGCATAGGGTTTATCGGGTACAAGCATCGATTGATACGATTTCATAGGATTATTGATCGTCGGGTGGAGGTGAGGTCGGGTGTAACTTCGTCGACGGCAATAGACAATAGACGATGTGGGTTTAAGTGTTGAAATGAGGTTTTCAAAGTTTTGGGAATTTCTAAAAGTATTTCAAAATTTTGTGTTTTTATATATAACTTTAATTTTTAAAATTACCATAACATAACATGCGTAATTTCATGGCAAAATTTAACGGTAATTACAATTCGAGTATCTAAAGTGATAACGTTTGTAACATTTGACATTTGATGATTTAAAAAAAAAGTTTAAACACCTATTTGAGAAAAACGGGTGTAGTTTGAACATTTATTTTATAATTAAACTTAATTAAATTGATGAATTTTATTTTATAATAAAAATTTCTATGACAGCATATTTCTAGTTGTGTTGCACTAATTACGAGCTACACACGAATGAAGTTCATTTGTTCACTTAAAATCACTTATTTCAGTCTAAATATTTTAGGCTATGTTTTCATTCCGTTTACATAATCCAAAATATAAACAGTTTAAGTACGTTGGTCGAATACTCATCAATTTTCTAACAAGCATTATAGTTCAATAATCTCATTTTAACGGATAATGAGGTATGTGATTTAGAATCAACGTGGGATTTTATGTTAAACATGTGCGTATAATTTTAGACGATAAAAACAGTTTATCAATATAAAATTTTGAAATTTTCAACTAAAAAATCGTCCCTCTTATCCCCTCGATGATATGTTATCGACCTTACCAAGGACGGAACTATGTGTAATGTTGGGCCATTGTCCCCTTAATCTTTGATTATTAAAAAATATAGGGATAAACAAGTATTTAGACCTTCGAATTTTTATTTATTTTGATTTTGACTATCTCATTTTCTATTGTTAGTTATATCTTGTCCCCTTGATTTAGAATTCAGGCTGCATCCCTATCTAAACCAGGGAAAATTATATTATACGACCGCCTAACTTAAGGTTAAGGAATGATGGGAAAATGAGCGCAACCGAAAATGTGATAAATATCATAATGTTAATATTTTTTGTTACGCCAATCGAAAATGTTATTATTTTTATCATATTTTTCAGTTTCGTCCATTTCTCGTTGTTCCTTAACCTTAAATAGTGGCGGATCAAACAATTTTAAAAGTTGGGTCTACAATATAATATTTTTTTAAGTAACGGGTATGCAAAAACTCTTATTTTTTTATTTTTTCTTAACATATTAAACTAAATTTTACTTTTTTTCCATTAAATATTAGGGATACATATGCATTTGACCTCCTAAAGATTTAGTGCATCTGAAATCTGTCAATAACCTTAAATTAAAATATTGTTCCTTACACTTTTCCCTAAGCCAGATAATCTGGACAGGCTCAATATGCAACAGATATCTTGTGAACAACCGTGGTTAGGGGCAAGGAGTGATGCCCATGCCCATGCCATGTTCACCTGTTTATATTTCAGTTGGTAAGATACGGTTGAGCTTGTGATGGCAGCAATTTAAACACTGCTTATATCTTGTGAATGCCCATGAAAACAATTAAACAAAACCTGACCAGCAGCTGTGCCACATCCTAATATAAAATTAAAATTCAGTGATATTAGGCCCAACAAAAAAACGTCATAATAGTTATAGCATTTTATATTACATATAATTTTAAAATTTTAAAATCTTTCTAACATTTTTTTATTATCAATCGAAATTTTTTTTTATTTAACCAAAAATATTATAATTTCACATTTTAAATTACACCATAAGATCACATGTTTTTAACCTTATATTAAATTATCGTTCCTTGTGCCTCCCCGCAATTTGCAAGGCATTACCAAATGGTAAATGAGGGTTCCGTTGCTACACAACTGTTTAATGTCACGAGCCACAGAGCCTGGTGGTGGGACCTGTGTGTCCACTGTCAGCTGATAAAACCTTGTAGCTTTCCATTTCCACCATAGAAGTTAACCTGTGTGTGTCCACTGTCACGAGCCACAGGACTGTCATATTTTCCATGCATGAGGAACAAATAAAGTTAAAAGCTTTCTCTTTTAATTTTTTTTTATTGCGATTCCTGTTTTAAGATTTTACCTCAATTAATATTAATATCAAACTTCTTACCGCTCACAAATTTGATTTTGATGGGTGAGACTCTCGATAATAATTTTTTACAAATAAAAACTCGAATTCGATATTGTATTT